CTGCCACCCCAGTGGCCAGGAGCAGGAGATAAGTCGTTGGCAGATGCAGTCAGCCGCAGACGCAGCCTAGGCAATCCCAACGTGCCCAAATAATTTGCTCCTGCACCTGCTTAAATTACCTAAATACCCTTCATTACATACATGCGAATTTGACACGCAAGTTGAGAGCAGGCACTGGGCAGGCAGAAGTAAACCAACCACGTGAAACTTTTGCAAGAAAACGACACAACGAAAGGTCGTATTACCTCCTAATTTGACTTATCAGACCAGAGGGGGCCAAGTTGTTCCCATATCATATCACTCCGTGAATTAATTAATTAATAATTATGATTTGATTTGATCTAATCTTTTGTATTATGCGTGTTTATTGTTGAAGCTGGTGCCTTTCATTTTACAGTCTGTCATATAATTACCCGTTACTATAGAATTTTTTTTAAATTAAAAAAACATAAATAAAAGACGCTTTGCTTTGAAAAGAGAATGATGTATAATTACACTTTTGTTTAAGGCTTTAAGCATGGGGTCATCTCATTTGTCGGCACCCTGATTAGTTTATTAGCATTATATTCTTAATTGGTAGTGGAAATACTTTTCACCTTGATGCCTTTGTTTTCAAATCGTGTTTGTGACCCTCCACAACTTGGAACGATAGGAAGTTACAAAAGAAAGTTCCTTCTGCATTCCCAATTGCCCACTTTGATATTTATTTAATGACAAATGATAATACCCATTTCTTCTGTTTGTTTGCAGCGTATTTAATTGTTCTCGCGTATTAACATTGTAAGTGTGTACATCATTGCTTATGGCAGCATTTTGTGGCGGTCACCGTCACAAATAGAGCTAATTATAATTATGTATTGAGTCATCACAAATATATATCGTCTTTGTATTTATGTGAGTTAAATATGAGATCTGAATCTAAACAAGGAGAAACAATAAACTAAAGGTTGGTTGGTGAGGAAAAAAAAAAAAAAAAAGTTCATCCTTATATAAGTATGACTTTGAGAGGATATCTATAACTACCTGACTAAGCATGACATGGAATCTAATAAACATGTATTTGCACATATATGGAATAAATGCCGACTCGGAATATATATCATATATGCTCTTGGGTGGTGATATCAAAATACAGATACAAATTATGTTGCACATATATGAACATGGGAATACGAATATGCGACACATGAATACGAATATGCGATACGGGAACACGGGAATACAGAAAATATCAAAAAACTAGAACACAGACACAACTAGGACACGACAATTAAAAAAAATTATAATAATAATTATATATATTAAATAAACAAAATCTTCATGTTGATGGGATACAAATTGAAGTGTTGGTGCAACATAAGATACAAATCCTAAGAGAGAAAAATAAACTCACAAAGATGTGCAAAGTGTTAAATACACGAAAAAATCTCAGATATCATATCTACCTGGTCAAATTTTACTTACGCGAAAATTTAATTGACCCTTAAACACGTATTTTTTCCACTTAAAGTTGTAATCACTACAAATACAAAAACCAAAACAAATAATACAAGGGTAGTATGGGAAACAAAATTTTTGACGGTAGAAGGCCAACTAGCAGGCTCAAAAACAATATGCTATAAAAGCCAACACCCAAACCACATCAGCCCTTGTCCTCAACAGTCTCTAGGTTGCTGCTGCTGCTTTTAGCTTTCTCCAACCTGCGAGCCATGGACCAAGGGGTCCCACAAACCCCTCCACCTTCCACCGCCGCCACCACCACCACCCTCCTCGGCAAATACCAATTGGGCCGGATATTGGGGCGGGGAAGCTTCGCCAAGGTCTACAAGGCCCAATCCCTCGTGGACAATACCGCCGTCGCCATCAAAATCATCGACAAAACCCAAATCGACGCCGTCATGGAGCCTCGGATCCTCCGAGAAATCTCCGCCATGCGCCGCCTCCATCACCACCCCAACATCCTCAAAATCCATGAGGTCCTCGCTACCAAGTCCAAAATCTACCTCGTCGTCGAGCTCGCCACCGGCGGCGAGTTATTCGCCAAAATATCGCGCCACGGTAAATTGCCGGAGTCCCTGTCCCGCCGGTACTTCCAGCAGCTCGTCTCGGCCCTGCACTTCTGCCACCAGAACGGCGTCGCTCACCGCGACGTGAAGCCCCAGAACCTTCTGCTCGACAAGAACGGGAACTTAAAAGTCTCGGATTTCGGGCTCTCGGCCTTGCCCGATCAGCTCAAAGACGGGCTGCTGCAGACGGCCTGCGGAACCCCCGCGTACACGGCGCCCGAGGTGGTTTACCGGCGCGGCTACGACGGCTCCAAAGCCGACGCGTGGTCCTGCGGTGTTATCCTCTTCGTCTTGCTCGCCGGGCGCCTACCGTTCGAAGACAGCAATTTGGCTGCCATGTACAAGAAGGTTCAGAGGCGAGAGTACGAGATTCCGGGTTGGATTTCGAAGCCGGCAGGTCGGATCATATATCAACTGCTCGACCCGAACCCGAACACGAGGTTGGGGATCGAGGCGCTGATGGAGAAGGCGTGGTTTAAAAAATCGATGGAGTTGGGGCTGACGGGCGCTTTCGAACCGGAGGAGGAGAAGTCGAAATGCGACGCCGTACCGTGCGGGATGAATGCATTTGATATAATCTCGATGTCGTCGGGATTGGATCTGTCGGGGCTCTTCGAGGTGGAGATCCGGATGGAGAGGCGGTTCACGGCTGAGGCGGCGGCGGGCGGGGGGGGGGAAAAAGTGGCGGGAGGGGGGGGGGGGGCGGGGGGTCAAGAGGAGGAAGGGGAGAGAGAAGGTGGTTATGGCTGTTGAGGTGAAGGAGGTTGCGCTGAGTTTGGTGTTGGGGGAAGTGAAAATGGCGGAGGGTGGCGGGGTCGAGCTTGATCAGGAGGCTAGGCTTTGGGAGGAGTTGAGAGGTGGGTTGCAGGACTTTGTCGTTTCGTGGCATAACGTCGTCGTTTGATTTTGTGTGCATTATTTGGATCTAATTAAGGCTACGACATAAGTTTTACTTTTATTTAGGTTTAGTGGTATGTTAGTTGAGTTGGGTTTAGGGTTTAGAATTTGTACATTGGATCAAAACTTCTGATGTTGCTTTGATTAGTGGTTACTGGTACTAATATATGATTAATCAAAATTTGTTTCATCTTTGTAAGGAGTTCATCCATGGTTGGAAGTCATATCGCATACGAAATAGATCCAACGAAAAAGAAGTGAACTGGTTAATCCAATGATTAAAAAGTTCTATGTAGCATATGAATTCCTTGAGATTGGATCTGTGAAGCATATTTGAGGTGCTTACTAATGGAGCATAGGATCGTGTAGTTCCGGTAGTAGTTCTATAAATTGCATATTCATATGCAGTGATTAAAAGTATTTACCCAATAACATCAATCAACCAAGAAATACTCAAATAAATCTTAAAATTATCGTTGAAAAGGTGGAGTGTTCCATGGCTCTCCTTTTTATTTTATAGCAAACAAATTATTGTATTCGTCACAAAATATGAGGCTTGCTTTGGTGACTCTTGCCTTGCAAGAAAAGAAGAAGAAAAAGTTGTAGATTGTTGTTGAGCAAACCCGCCCTTTTTTGTCTGGAATTACGTTTGTTGCTTGTGCATCCATAAAAATCTTCCCCATACGACATGCAAATGAATCTGAAGAAGAAAATATGAAAAGATACACACATACATGTTGATCGTTGCTGTCTTTTTACATACTACTGTATATAAAAAAGGGATCTGAAAACGCAAAAAGAAGTTGAAAAAAATATCGAACTGTGCAATAAATAATTCACTAATTTGGCAGCTGGATCTACTTTCTATCTTTCTTTGTTGCAAGTTGCCTGAACAGAACAGAAGAAGAGAAAAACAAGAGGCCGTTCACGGGCATTATTCTTCTCAGCGTCAGAAGATACTTGATTGATGCTAACAGCTGCTGACTGTACAAAAAGCACCTACACCCATATAAGAGCATTAAGCAAACGTTTGTTTCTGTCATGCGCCATGCTGTTTCTGTTTCAGTTTCTGTTGCTCTATAGACTAGTTTGGTATTGCTGTGCGAGCTGCTTCTATGGCGCTGTGAGAATAATCGTTAGATATTTTCAAAATAAACTATTATTATTTGGAGTGTCAGCCAAAATGTAAAGGTGGTTTGGGTGTCAAGTAGTCAACTTGTCTAACCCCACCAAAACATGAATATGAATGGGTGTACAGAGAGACCTGTGATGTGTGAATAACATAAGAGACTCTGATAATTTGGCATCAAGTTTCAACAATTATTGTTGTCTTCTTCTCCATTTTACTGATTTGAAATCACTCATCCTATCGAGTATGTGAACCTACTGTCCTTGTTTTTGGAAGAAAAAAAGAGAGGAAAATGATCAAATCAAATCAGCTTCTGCATTAGCACAGCTGCATTTTTGTACTAAAGCGAGCTGGCAAATAGATAATGAAATGAACTAATGAAGAATGGGTTATAATTTCTAGTCCATTTGGTAATCTTTTCATTTTTGGTTTTTAGTTTTTATTTTTATTGTTTTGTTGCCTAACGATAGAGGGGAAATACATGGAGAAAAAGAGAGATGAAAAAAAAGTGGTGGGATGAAAATGAAGTGGTAATCAATGGACCCTTAATTACATTATCCCGTTATACCACATAGCATATCCAATTTGGGAAGAACTGGTTTAATTCAAGCAACATTTAAAATACTGGGCTTATAAATTTTGCCGAGGGTGAATTCAGAAACTAAAAGTCCTGAAAAAGAGCAAAGTCCATAATATGTCTTCCTAAACATATATGTTTTACAGAGGACCCACTAGTATGGTAGTTTGAAGCAATTGATTCCCAATGCAAGATCCTAGGTTTGAGTCTTAGCATCTATGTAGTGTATGTGAGTTTAGTATATTATCACTCCTCTCAATAGGAAAGGTCTTAAAAAATAAACTGAAATGCTTTTGTAAGGAAATATGTAATCTATAAGCTTGAGAGGTGAAAAAAAAAAAACGTAGAGAAAGTTCTGCTTTAAGCATGAGAGGAGACCTTCAGTTAACTTACGTGTACTTGAACCTTGCTTGCATATTGCAACCATATATTAAGAGATACAATTTGTCATACAAGGATTTTACAAAATATTCAATTTGGCTCAAGGACTTGTTCCTGTAAAGTTGGCTATACAATTCTTGTGGCGGGCAATAAGCTCTATACAGGTTCATCCACGTCCTGTTCCCGTCAAACGACAGACCATCTACGTTGTGTCCCTGTCAAAAAATTCCACCTCCTTTCTCAGTGCCTTTGAGTGGTATATACTATGTAGGACGCAACTTTACGTACAACACCACGCAAACTTCTACACTGAAGTTCCACAGCCCAGTTTCCTCATTGAATTTCATAAATCAGCAAGAAATTGGAGCACAGGATCTGATGGTCATTACTCAAAACGCTGGATGCAAAGATAGTATCTACACATAATTACTTCCACTCATTCTCACAACAGAATAGAGGGCTGACATCCATGCTTGCAAACCACTCTGGGCATCCTTCTTCACCGATACTTCCAGCTTCGCAACAGCCTGCTTTGAAATACCAGATTTCACCAAAACAAGTCCAAGTGATTTGAATGTACAATCATCAGGTTGAATGGCAGCTCTCATCATTTCCTTGAAAGTTTCCACCACCTCTTTGAATCTTCCATACATCGCATACAACCCAAGCACATTATTATAAGTCAACAGATCAGTTAAAAGTCGCAGTTCTCTCATCTGCTCTGCAATCTGAATGGCTTCCTCAAACCTCCCCATTTTTTTATACATGCACAACATCATTGCATATGTAAACTCATTTGCATTTCCCTTTCTCTTCAAGCCATCAAAGATTTCTTCTGCTGGTTTAACCATAGATTGCTCACTATAAAGATCAATCATACAATTTGAAGCATATATGGAAGGACCATCCTCTGATGATTGAATAAGCCTGTATGTTTCTTCTGCTTCTTTCAAAAAACCAACTTTAGTATAGAGCTTGATCAAGGAGTTGTAAATCACCGTGTTCCCAGGCAAACCTGCCTTTTTCATTGCATCAGCATAACTGAGAGCTTCTTTAACACTTCCAACATCAGCAAAAGCATTTATCAACACCCCAAAGACAATAACATCTGGTTGAACATTGAATCCAACCATCTCTTTATATAGTCCCTCTGCCATTTCCAATTGTCCTAATTTTGCAAAGCTTGAGATCACAGCACAATAAGGGATGCAATCACTTACCAATCTTGCCTCCTGCATCTTCCTGAGATAGGGGTTTGCTATATGTGGCATATTAGCACTAGCCAAAATTTGTATGAGAGAACTATAGCTACATTGGTCTGGAACTACACCATGACTCTCCATGCTATTAAACAACTCACATGCTTTATCATAATGTTTCCCCACCCCATAAGCTTTAATCATCACGTTAAACTCAAGGACACTCAATTTTTTCACTTCTTGACAGCAAAAAAAAACTTTCTCAGCTTCCAAAATATGCCCACGCTCTCCATATGCATCAATATTAGCAGAACAGCACTCAGAACTCATTTTCCCCGAAAGATGAAACCTCATGAACCAAAACCATGACTTCTCAAGCATCCCAGCTTCTATGTACATCCTAGTCAGAGCTGACTGAGTGAATTCATCAATCTCAAGGCCCCTTTCATCCATCTCTGATATGAGATCTTCGGCTTCGCTAACCATGTGTCTTAATGAGTATGCATACAAAAGGATGCGGTAACTCACATGGTCTGGCTCAAGGTGAGCCTCCTTCATCTTTGTGAAGTATTTTGTCGCCATGTCTATATTATCATGCTTTGCATGGAGCGAAATTAGAATATTATATGTTCTTGTGTCCGCTGGGCATCGAAGCTCTTCCATCTTCTGCATAAGGGAAGCAACTTCTTCTAGCTGGCCATGGTTACCGCAAATGTGCATCATTGTATTGAAAGTCACTGTAGTCGGAGCAATCCCTTCCCTAAGCATCGTTGCAAATATTTCAGACGCTTCTTTAAGTTGGCCAGCCTTTCCATACGTGTCAATCAATGTATTATATGTATGTGAGCTCAAAGAAACATGAGAGTGAAAAGAGCTCCCCAATCCACCAGCAGCTGTTGTAGTACTGCCCTCTTGTCTAAAAGATAGGCTCAATGACCATTTGTCGAAAAAATCCTCAGCTTTTTGAAATTCTCCCGCTTTCTTATACAAATGAACGACAATCCCCATAGTAACCTCATCAGGTTTCATTCCTTGTTTGTTCATCTTCTCCAGCCAAAGAAGTGCTTCTTCTTTCAACCCACCTTTACTATAAACATCAATCAAAGTTCCATAAGTCGAATTGATAGGCGCTATTCCTTTAACCTTCATCTCATCCCAAAGTTTCTCTACAAGGCTCCACTTCCTTGCCTTCCCAAGAATTCTAAGCAGTATATTATAGTGAATCACATTCAATTCATAAAAGCCCTTTCTCTTGAACCACTCAAAAATCTCCCAAGCCCTTTTCCAACTCACCTGCTCCTTCAAAATTATGCTCCTTTCCTTGTTAGTAAGCCTATCTTCCCATGGATTCAAAGCCTTATCCAAATCCTCAACTTCATCCAATGCCTTCAAAATTGCAGGTAAGCAACCCCCATAAGTGACCCATTTCGTCGAACACTTGGAAGGCACTTTCTTCACCACTCCATTTCCATTCACCGCCCTCAATTCAACATCAAAATCCCTGCTTTTCACATAAGCACCACTACCCTTAGTGATTTTCCTCTTTTCCCCACCTGGGTTGCTCACAAAACTGTGTTTCTTCTGCTCAACCTCATGAACAACAGCACCATTTCCACATCTATCATGGGTGGGTCTATGAACTTCACTTAAACCCTTCTTGACCGTTCCTCCTCCATTGGGGCTCTGAACCACTCTGGGTTTCCTCTCCTTGTTTATTAGTTCAAGTTTGTCTAATGGAGAATGCCTTATGTTGGGTGAGGTTTTTATGGAACCCAAAATGGGGAAGCAACTGGTGTCCAACTGGAGCTTCACAAACATTGTTTTCACAGAAACTGAAACATACTATATTTTTCTTGAGTATTAGGAAAGTGATAATAACATGGTTAGAGTCCTCCAAACGTTGTTGGAGTAATTTGCAGAGACTCGGAGAGTATCAACTTTGGTAGGCTCAAATGGACAGGCAGAGATATCAAATAGGAGAAAGTTGAAGGCAGTCGGACGATTCGGATCATCCATATATGAAACTCGGGTCGACCCGACCCATCAAAACAAGATGCAGGTTCTATATCCACCCAAAGCATTGTCTTTGCACACCTATTATTTTTGTGAATGACAACTGTATATTCCAATGTGAAATTATCACACATCGGTTAATAGACCCTACAAAACTTGACAATTTAATAGGGCTAAATGAAGTCCAAGCTATAATTTAGCCCTCTAAAATATTATTTAGTCTAGAACTATTATATTTGAGTAATGCTATATTTACTATATTTTTATTTCACATTTCTATATCACATGATGTGGCATATCATATGCCACATCAGTTAAATCAATGAAGTTTATTTTAATAAAGAAAGTTTAATTAACATGTTTTTTCAAGTATTAATAAATTATAAAAGAAAAGAAAATATTAAATAATTTCAATTGATGTGGTTGTCCACCTCATCTGTCACATAAAGTGGACAACCACTTCAATTAAAATAATATATTTCAGGCGTATAGCCATGCAACTATACTATATATATATATATATATATATATATATTTATTTATTTATTTAAAGGAACCACCCAACGATTAAGCGATTTCCGAGTAGCCCAAAGTGACAGTTGGAGCTTGAAGCTTCTCTTTTCCCTAGTAATTTTGAAAATTTGTGGCCTACTTCCATTAGTTTATACTTTATAAGTATTAATTTGCTAGCTTTAACATATTCAAAGTAGATATTGAAGGGAGAGAAATTTCATATCAAATCAATATAAGAGTTCAATTTTTTCTTCTATTTTTTTTTGGTGGGAAAACGATTTTATTCTTCCTCATTCTCTCGAGCACTACTAATTCTATTTAATATATATTAATACGTATAATAGTGAAAATTATATGTATAATACGTGATTTTTGCAAAACTACCACACCTAAGATACCCTGGACTAAGCCATTATTGCATTTTTTATATTAATGTAGCGGTCAATATATGAAACAATTTTTATTCGATTGTAACTAATGAGACACTTTGAATTTGGAAAGATCTCCATGATATCTGATTGTAATGGATGTGAGAATTAATTTGGAAACCTTCTTGAATTTCAACAATAAATTCAGATTTAATGTACCTAGTCGTTTTATCAAGGTTATATATGGAACGTTGAGCGAACAACGATTTAGCATTCGCTTGTCTACCTGTTTTTCCATTTATTCCCAGGAAATTGTTACCAGGTTGGTTCTATGTACCTCATCCGTTACCTTTTTAAAACTACATGCATTCTAGACTATAAGAAAACCTGATGCATTGCATTCCATTGTGTTTTCCAACTAAGATTAAACAAGCATGGCTTGGTTCATTCGAAATGCAGTGCTGCTGCTAATGCTGTTTTCGTTGTTTCGAATAAACATATGTGACACTGACGAAGGAACGCTGCTCATAAAACGAAGATTTGTTAGAGTCACAAATGATTTGGGTGGAAACGTGACCCTTACAGTTCACTGTAAATCAGCGGATGACGACATTGGTGTCCAAGTGCTTCCTCCTCATGCTTATTTTGGATTCAATTTTCGACCTAGCTGGATATTCAGTACACAATTCTACTGCAGTTTTCAGTGGCCAAACACATTTAAATGGTTCGATATATACGATAACCCTAGAGACGCACCGCATTGCAGCAAATGTTGGTGGAGTATAGTACCAAATGGTCCATGTAGGTTTAACTGGTATGACAAAACGTATGATGTTTGCTTTCAATGGAATAAAGACTGAACTGATTTCATCATCTATTAATTTATTATGTCTTTATGAAATAATAAGAGTTCGATTGTTGTTATTTTGGTGAATGAGTATGATTGTTGTTGGAAAGGTTTAGGCCTTAGCTTTGAGTCTTGATGCAATCAAAGAAAAAAAATGTTGCAATGTTAAACTAAACGTTATGGAAACGGAGATATATAACAGTTTAACTTTCCACATTGATTTCGATAATGTTAGCTTCTAAACCATAAATATTTGCCATCCAGATTGCAGATTACAGATGAATCGTGATGAACAAAGGCATGGCTAACCACCTTCAACAAGTTCCAAGGTGAAGAGTTTGGTTATAAGTGGATCAAACCTACTGAGTGGAACTATAATAAACAGCAATATTGCATTAAAGATTTGTACAGTAAAAGCAGGGGAGAGAAATGCCGGCTCATTTAGGATAAATATTTCTTGAACCACACACCAATATTCAGAAAGCTCTCAAAGTCGGATTGTGGCCTGCAAACAGGATTTCAAATCAGATTGAAATGAAACCAAGTATAAACTTCTATGAGCTTGATTGTATTAGTGACTGAGACACTACATGTTTACAATGCAGAAGCACATTTGGAACATGTGTGTACTCTACCTCTCAATTGCATGAGTATCATTAGGAAACACAATGACTTTGACAGGAACTCCTTTTGCCTTCAATGCCTGAGCATACTACAAACAATAAACATCCATGTTAAGATTTCAGAGACAGAACAGCAGCCCACTACTACTGCTGAATTGATAACTTAACCACTTGTAAAGTCCGCATGTGAGGTTTTATCACAAAAGGCCTCGGTTCTAGATCACTTTTCTACTTACATCATTATAATTAGGTAACTGTGGATGCATCAAAATCTTCCCACCCCTTTGGGGACAAAGGAAATCACTTTAAAAGATGAAAAGGAGTAATTTTCTACTGCAATGCAGCGAAGAAGAATAATTATCCAAGCACTTGATATTGTTTTCAAACCATTAAGATAGGATAAGTGTTCAGTTTGTAGTTCATTATGAGGGGAACATATTAGCTTACTTGCAATCCAGTGAAAAAGGGAAGACGAATATCCTGAGCACCCAAAAGAAAAAGGGTTGGTGTTTTGACCTGCAGAGAGCATCAAAAATAAAAAAAGTTAGAAGTAGCAGAAGACTCCTCAGTAAATAATTAATATCGTTCTAAATATTAACTGTTTTTTGGTTTTAGTTCTTTTTGTAGATTTTCCTTCTATTCCAATACACTGCTAGTTTCAAAGTCCAGAACAGGCTCAAAATTACAGTAAGAGAAAAAGAAGACCCAATCTAAGCATATACCTTTGAGCTATGTGAAATAGGAGATTTCCTGTGAAAGAGAGTTAGATGCTCAGCTGAAGGTGCTTCTGTGAATGTATTTTTACCCTCACTTCCGTAGGCCTCCACATAGCACCAATCTGGGATGTCTGTCGTGCCCACCATCAATGCAAGGTTACAAGCAGGATTTCTTGTTGCTGCCGCAGCAAACTTATCTGGTGCCTGCAGCATTTCAGTTACAAGATTATTAAACTCTTAAATATACCTAAACGTACATGAAATATCACCTTCTAGAGCATCTACCAGACGTGCATAAGTTATAGATGCCTAAAAACAAAAAACAAAAAACTCTATGCAAATGAAATCCCCAAACCACTAATGTTCATGAAGATACTTATAAATGCTTAAAACAGTCGTGCTTTTTGCAAAACTACCACACCTGGCCAATCAAGTGGGTTGTGAGAAAGCCACCATGAGAACCACCAAGAACTGCAATTTTTGATGGACTGGCAAGTCCCATGTCAATGACATGATCTATAGCCACCAGTACATCATTCACGTCCTGTAGAGAAGAAACTAAGAGATCAGGGTCTCAAAACACATTTGGTAAGGCTCTAGCTAAGAGCACATTTGGTAGATTAGGCATCTCTAAGGCAAACACCAGCTAGCATAACAGAATAGTAAGATTACTATGAAACGATTAAGGTAAATATGCATAAGCACCTGGGACCCAATGTTCCCTGGAAGAGACTGAAGTGCTTCTTCACCAAACCCCAGTGAACCTCTGAGATAAAATTAGCATGTCAGAGCAATGCAGGCCAAGAAGGTGGTGATAAGAAAAAAGGAAAAAAAAGTATGCTTATTAGTTGTCTTTTCTTTCACTGGGGTATTATAACCCTCCCATTGTTTCATCAAACAAAAGCATGTCTTTTTTTTTTTTTTTTCCTTCAGCCAGAAGCAACACCCTGTCAATAATGAAGGGAACTATCTTAAATGATGTGTTTGTTTTTTCTCCCCATCCATATGAGTATGACAATGTCATAATATATGATCAACAAAATTGGAGCACAATTTGGTTGAACATCAAGTGCTTTAGCTGGAAATTTGGAGCCCTGACCCTGATAAGAAAATTGGAATGCAGGGAGAAAGGAGAGCCATAACTTACCTATAGTTTACAATTAACAAGTTGAAACCGATTGAAGAGAGAAATGCTAAGGACTTTGAAAAGCTGGACAATGAAACAATATGCGGTCCTCCATGAAGGAATACAATTAATGGGTCACATGGATCACTTCTTTTAGTTTTGGAAGATACAAATATAGCTTCAAAAGGTTTGGTGGCACCTGAAAGGTTTTCAGCATATAGAGGACTTCAAAATCAATTACTTTTTAAGACAAAAGAAAGAAAATGGCTAAGAAAAGGAAAAAGAAGAGCTTATAATACCTTTTGTCAGGCTATAAGAAACATCCCTGATGGGAATCTTCAATATACTGAATTGAAGAGATGAGAGCAAAGATTCAACCTGTAGCAAGGAGAATTTTGAGAAAAAAATGCAAGCATTGAAGATATTCATGATACGTAGTAATAATATAACAATACTAAGATAAGCAAATTGACAGACCTTCTCAGAGCATGCATTTGTGGGCCTTGATACATTTAACCAACTCCATGCAGTATCTTTACTATCTTTATCAACAAGATAACCATACTTGATATGAGGTACATCTACTGGACTGCTAGACACTTCAGAAATCAAACAAGAAGTGAAACTTCGTTCCACTTCAGTAAACATATTCATCCAGTTATCAGTTAAACAGGCAGTTTATGTTACCAGCAATGATATTGTCCCCGTCCAGTGTAA